AAGAGGAATTTGGCACTCAAAAGAGGTGGGATTAAAAAAAAAAAAAAAAAAAAAAAAGAAAGAAAAAAGAAATTTAAATGCATCATATAACTAGTTTAGCTGTAACAGAAGATTCACATAGGGAAGTTTTAGCCAGAACAGCTGAATTACAAAGTGTAAATGTTCAGTGAAGAGATTCTGGTCTTGCAGGGACGATTTCTCAGAGTGGGTTCTGTGTAGCTCTGGCATGAAAGGCAACCGTGGTATTTGATAAAAATGAAATTTCCTGGTCTCAGCCATAGCACCTTAAACATGAATACATGGGGAGGGGGCATTTTTCTTGTTTTTTCAAGACATGTTCATCTGCTTTTCATGAATATTTCTTAATCACTACTGAAAATAGAGAATTACTAAACTTTTTTGTGTTTTTTTTAGTACCGGGAATCAAACTCAGGGCCTCATACTTGCCAGGAAGGCTTTGCGTCACTGAGCTATATCCCCAGCCTTAAAATTATTCAACTTTAAAAAAATTTAAGGGGTTGGAGAGATAGCTCAGAGTTTAAGCACCTGTCTGGCAAGCCCAAGCATCTGGGTTCCTACCGCATGCTGTGCTGGCCCCACCCCTGGGTGTGCTGTGCTGGTATTGAAACTGGGGAGGCTGAGACAATAGAATCACTATAAGTCTGAGCTGCTTGGCGAGACCCTGTACCAAATAAATAAAAAAAAAGATTTTAAAAAAATTAATGAAGTAACATGACTGAAAGCATTCATTTATATAAGACAGATAAAGGGAATGGAACTAGTAAAAGGAATACTGAACTTGTCATTTGACTAGATTTGACCTAATAAGGATTGAAAGATCTATATCTATATCTGTATCTATAATGATACTAAAAACAAGGGAAAGAAAACCTGATTCAAGAATATAAAAGAATGACCCACATAACTCAAAGTCTAGTTTGGAATAAGGATTTTTTTTTTTTTTTTCTCCGAATGCCTTCAGGGCAGGTTTGGTTGGCTGGAGTGTTGTGGGGATCGAACTACAGCAACCTGAGGCTGACAGCTTTGTGGAAGCAGCCACTTAAAGAACTGAGCTAGGGCCAGGCCCCCTCAAGTCTAATTTGGAATCAAAGAAAGGAAACAAATTAAAAGGCCCTGCTGTAAGCCTCTGGGGTTACAGAGAATGTTGCTATCATGAACAGAAACAAGCAGCCTGGTATGGATTAATAAAACAAGGTGCAGCCACTATTGGAGAAAAAAATGACATCCATTTTAAAAAAGGTATATTTAATTAATTCTTTTTGAGACAATGCTTGCTATGTAGCCTAGGCTTGCCTCAAACCAATGGTGATCCTCCTGCCTCAGCCTCTCTAGTGCTGGGGTTATAGGCATGTGCTGCCATACTTGACAACATTCACTGCAGACATCTAGGGGATACTATGTACCATAGAAAAGACCTTCTGTTCCCATGCAACCTAAGTTTTAGATTTTTTCAAATCATTGTTGCAGTTCCACAATCTGAAACGTCAGTTATATAGATCATTGCTTCTATCATCTGACAAATACCTCCAAATATTTCAATCTCTTATTTTCAAATCAATCTGTAGTATACAGTAAGAATTTTACACATAATGTGTAAAAGGTCAAAAGGCAGTAACTGGAAAACCCTCCCTGTTCTGGAGGCGGAGATTTGTTCTACAAAGCCTTCTGTCATGCCAGCGGCCAGCAAGACAAGCTCGAGTTTTTTTCCTTCTCTCTCTCTGTGACATGTGCTTGAGTTGCAGCAGAAAGGAAATGTGTCATCTGTGGTTTGGTTTTAGAAGTGGAAAGCTAGCTGTACGTACTCTTTTTTTGTTGCAGATTTACTTTACATTTTCTATTTTCTAAGTCTATTCTACTTTAAGAAGACAAAAGAAGAAGTGGCTTAGTAAAATTACATTATCAAATTTTGACCAACCATTTTGTAAGGTAGGTCATGTATATAGCTTTACTTATGTCATTTTGCTTATAACTTTGTTCAAATTACTGTGCAAAGAAATACTTCTTAAAAATAAGTAAAAATTTCACTAACAGAATCATGTATGCTTTTTTCCTGTTCTATATGTAAAATTATGTAAATGATGTGAATAAAACAAAAGGATTTATGACTGCTAACATGGAGTTTTAAATTAGGGTTAGGAAAGATAAATTTGAACTCCAGAAGTGAACTAAATTTTTTTTTTATTTTAAAACATTAAAAAAAATTTCTTATTACTAATGGTTAAGCACTATAAATTTTATTGAAATGACCAGAGATAAGTTTTTGATAATACAAACCTAGCCTTTTATGACATAAACTTGAACTATAGAGAAATCCTTTAATTGCAAGCATTTACACTGGTAAGAGCATCTCATTTTGCCATCATTTGTTTATCTGGGCACAGCAGTACATCTGGCTGAAGACAATCAACAGCGGTCCTATTATCTGGCCTGTGGTATGCACTGAGAAAATGTGTGCGAGTACTGTGGTGTACGCTACATTGTTAATGAACTGATGTGACAAGAATAACCCCCTTTAAATTATTTTAGCATGTAATGCACAAGTTCATTCTAGCATAAAACGGTGGAAAGTATTTGTTAAAGTACTTATTTTTGAGAAAGAACCATAGAATATCCAAAGATTTATATCATTTTAACTTAAAAGTTGATGCTGAATACTACTCAGTATATTGTCTCTTTAATGGTCTATTAAAGGTCTTAATTCAAGAAGTAATCTTGATTCTAGAACTTTTAATGAAGGTTTTCCCCCTCTCTACTATTAATATGAACTATTTCAGAGGTTAATTTCTAATTAGTATTATTTATGGTATCCTGTTTTTTCTTTGTAACTTAGTATTATTATACTTGCAATTCCAAATTTATATATTTCAATAATATACAAATTTTACCTAATGATATCTAATAATTGTACTTATAAAACCCTGATGCTCAAAACCAGGCCTAATAGAGCAGCATCTGTATCACCTAGGAATGGATTAGAGCTACAGAATCTTAGGCCCCACCCAAAGCTAAACTAAGAAAAAAAGAAAGGTGGGGGGAGAGGGAAGGGAATAAAGCCAACTCCTAAGCACATTCAAGTTTGAAAAGAACTTCTGTGAGATATACAAGCTTCTTAACCAGGCAATTTTTTTTTTTTTAAGTAAATCTCAGAACCACCTAGTTTTTGTTTATAATTCTCTTTTTTTTTTTAGCATATAGTTCTTTTATTAGACTTGATTTGCTGATGTTTGCTTATCATTCTGGTTGTAAACAGGTAGTTTTGCAGTACATAACGATTACACTCATTTTTGGGGAACAGATACATGTACACAACACATCTTCATTCTTTTTACTTCTCCTTCTCTTAAGATTTCCCTTCATTTGCTTTTGAGAAGTAATCTTTTATTACTTTTAACAGGTTTTAATTTTTAATTACTTTTCTTTCAAAGTTTTATTGATAAACAGATAGCAATGAGACAGTTTCAAATCAAATCGGAAGTATAGTTTCAACAAATAATACACTGCATATATTCTTCTTAGTGGTTAATTGCTGTACAAGATGCGGACTTGTGATCCTATTTACAAACACCATTAGAACAAATCATTCTATTCATTAAGAGAATGTAACTATATATCTATCCCAACCACTTTGAATACACAGATACAAAATGGACATTCATAGGTATATGTTTATAATTCTCTTAAATAAATGCTAACAATAAAATATGCTTATAAAAGTACAACAAACTGACATATTGTTATAAAATATATTGTTATACCTCATTAAGGATAATAAATCTTTTCTGGCAGATTAACTGCATCTGGAACAGATAATATCAGTTCTATCTAAGTCTCTCTAATGTGGTAGACAGTAAGAATTAGGAATAAAATCTGTCTCCTTTTGATACTGGCTTCTAGGAAGCATTAACCCAAAATTGAAATGTCAATTTTTGTTATTGTAGCTAAGGACTGAACCAGGACCTTGTGCATGCTAAATACATATATTTTATATGGGGTAGCATATATATATATATATATATATATATATATATATATGCCTTACCCCTGAGCTATATATAGATCCTATCACTAAATAACAAATTTTTCAGTTATATTTTGGGATGCTTATAATCTGCCACTTAATTCTAAGTCTCCAAGATCCTAGTGATCTATGTCTTCACATTTAATGATACCAAGTTCTTTTTTAGGATTATGTCAAAATCAGAGAAAAATTCTAGTTACAAACATAAACTGATTTTATTTATTCCTGTTCATGATTAATCATTTGTTATTCAGTAGTAGCCAGGCAGTTTGTCATGCAAGCTCTGCATCTGTAGCAGTATCAACAGTTGTGGTTTGTTTGTTTGTTTGTTTGTTTGTTTGGCAGAACAGGGGATTGGGCCCCTGCACTTGCCAGGCAAACACTTCTTCCACTGAGCCATCTCCCGGGCCCCCATAAACTGATTTTAAAAAACCCAACTTCTGTTGAATTTTTGAGATTTAGAAGAAATTTCTTTTGTTATGCCAGATATTTTTAGGTTGAGAAAATAAGCATTCCTTTACATTTAGAATGTCACAGAGAAAATAAAGGTGAACAGAGAACTGCTGCCATAAAATTGCTTTCACAAATGCTGGGAATAATTTTTAATAATTTTTTGTTTTACTCTAAGCATCAAAACAACCCTAAAGACAAAAGATCTCAAATTCCTATTTGAAGTTCCTTTTCTTTAGGTTTCTACCAAACTCTGCTGTCTCCTTTAAGGAAACAAAAAGCCACTTGCATTTCTTTTCATACAGGAAGCAAAACTTTCAAGGCCACATTCTCCTTTACTAAAAGATGTCAGCTGGAGGGTGGGGAGTTTCAGCAAGAATGACCCTTAAGTGGTTTTTCTTTTCTTTAAATGAGGAATTAAAAGAGTAAAAGCAGAAGTTTCTGACTCAAAGCTGAAGTCTCACATACTTAAAAAGGGGGAAAATATCATGTAAGGCTATGGTATTTAGTTTGAAATGATTATAATAGGTATTTATAATGCTAATTTGTAGCATCCAAAAGTACAACAGAAATTAAAATGTTTATGTACAGTCTAGGAATCATAGAAAACAATTCAGTTCAGAAGGAACTCAGTAGTGACTGTTGGGCATGAACTTGTAGTTTATTTGTAACATCTCCACTATCTGTCTTTTAACTACGATTACCAAAACCGCAAACCATTGTTTTTAAACATTAACAAATGCCATTCTGTTCCACCAGATCACCAGTACTCTCATGGACATGGACCACACAGGATACCACCTGCATCTTGCCTTTCTGATGACAACAGTTTTTTCTTTGTCTTCTGGAACAAAAGCAAACTATACACACCTGTGGGATAACAATAGTATTGCCTGGGATTCAGTCAGTCAAAACAACACGGGCAGATACCAAAATGAAAACGTTAGCACAAGCCCTGTAACCCCTGAAGTGGATTATAAAGTGAATTCTACCAGGATTCCTGAGATAGCATCATCATCTCGGATTGTATCTTTAACTCCTAAATCTGAACATGAGCTCTACACACCTTCTGCTGTCAGGAACCATTCTTCAACAGCAGAAAGCATTAAAAACACAAGTAAAAATCATGGTGAAATTTTTAAAAAGGATGTCTGTGAGGAAAAGAACAACAACACAGCTATACTAATTTGCTTAATTATAATTGCAGTGCTCTTTCTTATCTGTATTCTCCTATTTCTATCAACTGTGGTTCTGGCAAACAAAGTCTCATCTCTCAGACGATCAAAACAAGCAGGCAAACGTCAGCCTAGAAGTAATGGCGACTTTCTGGCAAGCAGTGGACTATGGCCTGCTGAATCAGACACTTGGAAAAGGGCAAAACAGCTCACAGGGCCCAATCTCATGATGCAATCTACTGGCATGCTCACAGCTACAAGGGAAAGAAAAGGTGATGAAGGAACTGAAAAACTTACTAATTAAAAGATGCTTTGGGCTAGAAAAATGCAAAGCAGTTCTGAGAAAGATGATGAGTGTAAAGGAAAGTCAGCTGGGTGTTTAATGCCAGCCTGTTGTGCTCACTTCCCAAGCACACATAAAATCAGCGAGCAGGCCAGATGATTTAGCATGGAAAGGGAGATATGTGCCTGCTTATTGAACTGCTTAACTGTGTGTTTGACACTGAATATTTTAAAAATTACAAGGAAGCATTTGGGGAAGTTCTTAAAACTAAGTTGAAGAAAGTAGGTAAAAGAGATAGCAAGGGTTAAACATTCTCTATTCAGTACCAGTAGTTAAGACGACCTCTGTCTAAATGTAACTGAACTTTTCAGTCTCAGTAGGTCCACAGAGCTAGGAACATGCTTCAATATCTAAGAGAAGTCAAATGCCTAATAATTTGATAATAGTTTGGATAATCTTTATTGGATATGACAGAATCCATACCAGTTCGTTTATCAGAGCAACTAACTAGGGTACATTCTATCATCTCTATATATGGCACACAGAAGTGCTTTGCTACAATATTAAAACTTAACTTTGTATAATAAATTAAAACTTATTAGATAAACCTGTGGCTATACATATGTGTATTTACTTGTCTTACAATATACTGTAAAGATCAGTAAGATGCAATACAACTAAAATAGATGAGATTTACAGCCATATTAGAACGCTAAGCATAAATGTAAAAGTATGTTTTCCTATTTAAAAGTAACATTCACCTTTTTTCATAATTTTTGGGCTTTTAAGATTATTTGTTCTTGTATCTTGAAATAAGGTCTTAACAAGTTACCCAGGTTGGACTCAAATGCATGCTGTTCCAGTGTTAGCCTCCTGAGTAGTGGGGACTAATAGGCAGAAAGCACCACTGTAGCTGGCTCATCTTTTGTAAAAATACTGCATTTCAGAGTAATGATAACAAATAACTTAAGGTTGGTTAACATTTAAACTTTAAGAATGCCAAGTACCTTAACTAATGACTAATAAACTAATTTTATTCTTTACTATCCATGGTTATTTGACCAAAGGAGAGAAAAAGCTGGGTGTGGTAGCACAGTCATAATCTCACCACGTGGGAGGCTGAGGCAGGAGGATCATTGTGAGTCCAAGGCAGCCTGAGCCACATAAGCAAGTTCAACCTACACAGTGAGACTCTGTTTGAGAGAGAGAGGGGTACAAGGGGGTGTGTGTGTGCATATTGACTTCAAGCAAAATAATGAGTTACATTCAAGTCAAGGTCTTCAATTAAATATTACAAAAACTGATCTGAAGCCAGGTGGAGTGGCACACACCTGTAATCCCAGCACACAGAAGGGTGAGGTAGCAGGATCATTGCGAGTTTGATGCCAGCCTAGGCTATAAAGTGAGCTCCAGGCTAGCCTAAACTGCATAGCAAGACCATTTCAAAAAAGGCCAGAAAACAAAAAAACCAAGAAAGCCCCTCCCCCTCAAATCCTCATCTAGTAAGAATTTATTTTGTGCAACATGCTAGTAATGTAAGAAAAGATCATGAGTATAATCTTATTCTCTCTTCTCAACCCATGGTTTTCACCCTGGCTAAATAGCAAAACTTATATGAAAAAATTTTTAAAATCACCAAGGCCTACTTCCCATGCCTTCCCTATTCCAATTAGAATGGGTTAAGTTCTAGGGACTGTCACTTTTATACTGCTTCCTGGACACTACTGCTTCTGGCAATCAAATCCATCCATGCTTCCAAACATCCAGTTTGCATCTTAAAATGGAAGTGGACACACTTTTCTTATAAATTTATTTTAAAAATTGATTCCCTGAACAGTAAAAATCATAGCTACATTTTTCCAGATAAAGCTAAATGTAAACAAAGTAAAAAGAAAAGCAAGAGAATTACTCATGCCAATCCTGGTAATAAGATATAAGAAAAAATAACCTTAAAGGTCCACGTCATCTTCTGAGGGATGAAATGGCCCAGATTGGGGCTGGAGGTGTCACTCAGCAGCACAATGACTGCCTGGCAAGCACCAGATCCCAGGAATTCAATTCCTGCTCCTCCTGCCCCCAAAGGCTCAGAATATGAAGGACTCTGGGCAGTATTCTCATTTTATGAGAATTAAAAATCTGAGAGCATACTCCAGAACATGGTTCTAAGTCTTCCTTGAATTAATTGTCAAAAATAAATACTTGCCAGACAAGACTAAAATAAGGGCATATATTTATAAAAATAAGAAATTAACCAGGAACCTACTTTCATATTGAACACATTGGTCAAACAACTTTTTATGTGCTCTAGAGGTATTAAAATTTCATTATTCATGGGCTATTAACACATCCTCAGTCTAACATCCAATGGGAGTTTACAAACTAAGAGAAGTGGTTCTATCCAAAACTTGACAGATAGATAAGAAATCTTTGACTTCAAAATTGTACATTATTGGGGGCCTGCCCCGTAGCTCAGTTCTTTAAGTGGCTACAACTCAAGCCAGCCAAACCTGCCCTGAAGGCATTTGGGGCAAAAAAAAAAATTAAAAAAAACCTGTACATTATTTTTGAATAAAAACATTTTTATTTTATGTCTTCGTATTATGGTTTACCTCAGGGATTTAAAAATAGTGACTTAAAAACTCTGTGTAACAGTTTGGTTTTATTATGCTACCCTTTTTGTACTAAGTTTTAAGTATCTTGAAATTAAGAACTGGGTCATCATCATCTGTGTTTCTCTCAGTGACCAGGGGAAAGGAGCACATGCACCGAGACTTACATTACCTACTATAATTTGTACTATACAAAGCATCTGTTGAATCTTGTTAAATTTATAGATTAGGAAATATATATATGTATATATATATA